AGAAAATCCTCAATAAACAAAACCCATTTAACGATAAAGATAATGATTCAGATGATTTTTGGGATATACCAGGTCCCACATGTTCATGGGATTAAACACCCAAAATTACAAAGTTTTTCTTTAACAGTCTGTAAAACAAATCTTTCTATTTTATTAACATGAAAGTTGAAGCTAATTTTCACGATGAAAATATTATTTTAGCATGTTGATGATACGTAATTCAATTGTTACAAATTACATTAGCTTTCGATCAAATACCAAATGAATAAATTCTATCAATAACTTTCCGAAATAATCAAGCTTTACCCTTGCTAACAAACCGAAATCTTTAAATTCGCACAAATAATTTAAAAAATTATTGTAAACCGACCATAATTTACAACACAAATTAAGGTCAGACTATTAAAAAACATAAACAAATTCCTAAAATAATAAATAATAACCAATCATAGTACTCATTCAAAAAAAAAAAACGAGAAAACAAGGTATATCTATCCTTCTCTAAAAAGTTAATTTCTCATAAATAAACAAATTTGTTAAGTAAAAATTCAAAAAATATAACCAAATATAACCAATTAATTAAGAACTTAATAAATCAAAAACAAAAACCCAAAATTTTATTGTATTCTAACAAATAATAAAGAAAAACGGAATATTTCCATCCTTTTCTAATGATACGTATAACGTATAAATCACGGAATATACGTATTATTAGCAAGAAAACTTTAAGTTTACATAAAATAATAACACTAGACACTAAATTTCAAATAATTCTTGAATTAAATTAACAAACAATCACATATAAAAAATATCAAACATAAAGGTACACTCATCAAAACTACTGAAAATAAAAGTCCCTATGTAAAACACTAGATGATAAATATCAATACATATATCATAGTGAATTTAAAGCTAGTGACTTCACAAACTACTTAAAATAAAATTCCCTAGATTCCATAAAAATTTAAAATTCCCCACCAACATTTAAATTCATGCACATAAGTGCAAATAAAAATATTAATAAGACCCGTAATTATGGGCTTCTCTATATATACAAAGCCCATAAATGCGGGCCAAGCGTATTATGCCCATAATTGTGTGCTCAACTTGCGGAGCTCACAAATATGGGCCGTTCAAAAAAAAAAAAGAGAACCATTAAATAAGAAAAAGACTAAATTAAATTTAAAACAATTTATTTATTATAAAAACTAAAACTAAAATACAAAATAGAAAATCTTAAAACTAACAACCAGGCCCAAAACGGGCCTGACCAGGAAATAGGACGTATCTCGTCCCGTCCCCAGCAACCACTATTTTTAAATTTATATAAGGGGGGCGAATAAAAAGCCGCCCCCCACCCATGAATCGGGTTACCAATAGATTTTGGTAACCATACTCTGAAACAAAAAAAAAAAAATTTTTATGAAATAATATTAAATTTTAATAAAAAAAAAAAAAATAAAATAAAATAAAATAAATAAATAAATAAATAAATTCAAAAATTAAAAACTAAATACCCCCTTCGTTGGGCCCGGCATGCCTCCAATGACGACATTCCTCATCAGAATTATTATTGTCTTCTAAAAGAACACAAAAATTTATTAACTACTAATAAAAATAGTAAATATTAAAGTTAAAAATATAAATAATTAAAACCAAATGTCACTTACCTCCGTTCATCTCGTTGTCTTGTTTTGAAATGAGTCATTTTCAAAAACTGATGACCCTTGCAAATTCTAAGGAGATAAAAGCCCTTAGTTGAGATCGTAAAAAAAAAAAAAACACAACATCCATATCAAATTAACAACCGATAAATAAAATCAATATAATAATAAAACACATAATAATAATAATATACATAATTAATTAATAACAATACAAAATATTAAAATTCAAAAACTAAACAATTAATTAACGAATTGAATTACCAACTGTCAAGATGATAATATAACCAATAAATTATCTAATTTACCGACTGTTAATGAGAAACGAAAATTCAAATTTTACCCATATATTGAAGATAAATTTAACACAATATTAAAAAAAAAAAAAAAAAAAAAAAATAATGTAATTATCAATTAATGAACAAAATGTTTATCAAGATGTAAATAATTATAAAAATCACATTATTACAAAACCTATATAATCATAAATATTATACTTATATATAATAATCAATATTACTAGAATAATAATTACATAACCAATACCATGCTTACTAAATAATTACAATAATTAGTATATTACACCAAGAATTACATATGAATATTATTAAATAATCAATTAATATAACCCTTATTAATTTCTTTAAATATAATTAATCAATAATAATATTATATAATAATCCACCGTTATAACATATATATTATAATCAATAGTTTAACTAACTAATAAATATCATGAAGTAGAAAAAACACTTGGATCAGATAAAAACACTACTTCAAATTTTAATTAAAATTAAGAAATATAATCAATATTATTAAGAAATATATATATCCATTATATATCAACAAAATATTATAAAATCACATGTATTAAGAATTAAACAATAAATAAAAATTAAAAGAAGGACGAAAGAAAAAGAAGGAAGGGGATTTGGCGGTCGCCTTCTTCTTTCCTCCTCATTTTAATAAAAACCTAAAATAAGAATAAAATCTAAAATACATTTCATGTTGCAGATGGAAATTCCATTTTTGGGACATATATCTGAAGCTGTTAATTATATGTCAATAGCTTTCAAAATATTATTATTATTGATAGCATTGATAGTAGTTAAAAACCTATACGTACTTTATAAAGTCGTAACAATGAGAAGACAAAGATCGAATAATCGATCCAACGTATAAACAAAAAATATGCATTATTGGCCCAATTGCAACCCACATACATTGAGGACAATGTACACTTTAAGGAGTGAGGACCAGGCCCAAAAATCCCGAAAAATTTGGAGAAATAAAACCACTATAAGAGTCGACATAACCAGGCCACTATAAACCGCCAAGAAGCAACACAATTCAAACCAGCGCGCTGGAAACCTTAAGCTTATAAACATCGACCGCATGAATAGATCTTGAAGCTATGCATATATTGCGCATGCTTGATTCGGCAACCATCATGAAAAAGCGGCAAATAATTCAAATTCAAATTTTAAAATTCGCTCTTCATGATGGAAATCGAACAAAACTTTCAACAGCCATGCTTATAAGTACTAAATATGCTTAATAACGTCTAATTAACCTACAATAACAAAATAAATAATAATAATCAAGCTTCATTATTAATACATAATCAATAATTATTAATTCATATGAATATTCTAATAAAATATTATTTCCATACAAACATTAAAGGATTAAGCAAACTGGAGTAATATTTTGTTAACAAAAAAAAAAAAAAATATATATATATAATAATTTTAATAATAATTTTAAAATAATTAATGAATACTAATAATAATAAAAATAACATAAAATATAATTAATTAATTAATTAAATATTAACAAGTAACAATTAACAAAAACTACCCTAATAAATTGTAATAATTTATATCACGAATTATGACAACTTTTCAATCTAATTAATTGTTGAATAACTAAATATAAATTAGATAATAATAATTAATTGATAAACAACAATTAATTAATGATTGTTAATCTTAATATTTTAATAAAATTTAATAAAAATAAAATATCCACATGATAAAATTAGAACAATAAGTTGTCAAAATGAACAAAGAACAAAATTATTAGTATTATTAACAATTATTGTTAATAATAAATGACTTTAAAAGTCCCAACGTCGAGCTGAAAGTATCAGAGAAGCATAAGAGTATAGGAGGGTCTCCCGCGACACACTGTGTGGCCAGGCCCACGCCTCCTACCCAATAGCTGTACATACAGGCCCACGCCTCTCTTATACGGTGAGCGAGATCGAAAGGCATTAAAGTCTCCAACTCATGCATCTTCCGATGTCGCTTACACTCTTACCGTGCATGTTCGTTTGTTATAATTCTCGGCTTGAAACTTAAATATTATTGAATTGTTAATGATTATTGATAAAAACATCGATGCAAAATACTTTATATAATCACACACAATTAATTTTAATAAAATTAAAAAGACATATTAACAATTATAATTTTAATGATTGAAATAAACTTCAATTAAGTAAACAAAAAAAAAAAAATTAAAATCAATAACATTGAGAATTCAATGATAATAATATTAATAATAATAATGATAATAGCACTAACAATTATAACATATAGGAGAAAAATTTCTTGTACTAATAAAAACATATTTTATATATATAATTGTAGATTAATAAACAAAATTAACAAAATATTGCTATTATAATGGTAGCATTAAATAATCATCGAAAAACTTTAACAAATGAAATTTCAAATATCAATTTAAAATTCTAAATAATAACTACCTCAAAGAAAAATTAAAGAAAGAGAGAAGAAGAAAGACATGGGACTTTCAGGCCGCATTAAGTTGCTCGCCGACTGTACCGACGTTCCAGGCGTTGAAATCTCTCGATCTCTGCTCGAACTTGCGAACATACTCCCTCTGCACTCGTGTTTTCCTGATGCTTCTCTCGACGAATTCAACTTGAATTATCGATTTAATCAATAAATAAATCGATTTTGACAATAATTTATATAAGAAAATTAAGGACAAATAGAATTTAGCACAAAATCATGAAAAAAATAAAAATTATTGAATTAAAAATGCAATCGATATTGATTAACGAATAATGTATATAAAAGTCGATAATTTGGAAGAAATTAAAAATTAAAATTCAAAGAAAATTAGTTGACACAAGGAAATAGAATAAAATGCGATATTACATTAATTAAATTAATTTATTATAATAAACATTGCAACTATTGTTTAAGAAGTGTATGTATGTATGTATGGATGTATGTTCATGTATGTGTATGTGTAAAAATATATAAAAAAAAAAATTTTGTAATAATTAATTAACTACATCTACTTCTTCTTCCTCGGATTCATTAATTAATAAAACTGCATTATTGACACCACAAATACACGTCAATTCCCTTCGATTAATTGGAATAAATCTTCCACAACGACAAAAACGTCCGTTTTTTCCCTTTAAACTGAAAACAAAAATTATATATATAATCGATAAAACTTAAATAATTCACAAAAGATAACCTTCAAATTACCTCACAAGACACGCCTTATTTTGAGAAGATACAACAAGGGCTGCAACCAAACGCATCAACTTCCTCTCCAATTTCGACTTGGAAATTTTTAGTTTTCGCACTTCTATTGAACTTCCCCTCACCACCGACCAAGAGGCTGGTAATTTGCGGAAAATCATTTTCAGTTGTGAGTCAGGACAGCTTATTATTTGATAATTTGGTGCAAATCCCCGAGGACATTTTAAATTCTTTATTTCCCTGGATATCCTATGCAATTCAGTGACACCAAAAATAATTCGAGCCAATAATTCAATTTTGAAAGGTCGATGAGAGAAAGCACTATTAAAGGAATCTATAAACAACAAAACAAAGAATACAAATTTAGAAATATAATTATATATATATGCAATAAACATTACACAAAAGCTAATTACATAATAAATTATAGGATATCCAAATGGTATCCTCTATACAAAAAAATGTGCTTTAGTGTTAAAATTGTTCTTTTTAACTCCACACTAGGAACACGCACTATCACTCCCTTACGTTTAGAGTCCAATCGTCTTATTATTTTAAAATCACTAATATCGAAAGGAATCTGGAGAATGGATGAACACAAGTCACAGATTGTTCGTGCGGCAGTTCCAAAGGGCACTCTCCAAAAAGCGAATTGATAGATGCCTAATGATTCTTCAATATCAACAATTCTTAAACCCAAAAGTCTATGTTGGGAAACGTGAAAAATCGAAGAACTGGAAACTGAAGGTCCTAATTGACGAGTTAAATTGTCATAATCACAAAGTTCGATATTTAATGTCGGAAAACTATCAGCAGATGCAGCACCAGTTGAAGGAAAATTTGCACCATACTCTGTGGAAACTTCAACTGTCAATCTGGAAGCATTTTGTCCCGACGACGTTGAAGGCAATGCAATTGTCTCTTCTATGGCAGATTGACTATTTACACTACGATTTTCCATTAAATTTAAATTGTCACTCAATTCGCGCACATTTTCTTCCTGATTCAAAGAATCATTGAATAAATCCAAATTAAATTGTTCAATATAATCATTATCACTATCACTAATGTCATTTAATTCACTCATAATAATAAAAGAAAAAGAGAGAAAATTAAGAGAAAAGAAAAATTAAACACCAAATTATCTCACCATGAGGAATTTCTGTAAGAAGCGACGACGATACCGAAATCATGTTTTCTACGCAATAATTAAAGAAATCAACAGTAGAGACGTCGCTTATCGAACTTGTATCACTCATTATCAACGGCAAACTGAAGAGAACAATGGATATAAAGATCGTGGATCCTGAGATCACCATCCCTCAAAACTGATGATAACAGCAAAACCTTTGTCTCATAAAGAACATCTGGACCGTGGAACAATTCGCTGATGTTTCTACAACAACTTACCTCATCCTTCATGTATCTTACTTTAGACACGTTCACTACATTTCAAAATAAACTTTAGATTGTCAACTTACCTTGTCAGCACATTAGTTATTGTATAATTTATTAAAATCACTCCAACTACTAAAATGTAAAAATTACGAATGTTCAGAATACACTATTTAAGTTCCTCGAGGACGAAGAACGATTTAAGGAGGGAGGACTGTTATATCCCGATATATTTTGAACTTATACAAATTTCATAAAAATTTAATAATTTAGTTAACTAATTAACTAAATAGAAACCATAAATTTAATGTTCGAACAATGTCCAAAGGCATAGTCCAAATTAATGCATTATTTATTACAAATTTTAAAATATAAAAGCATAAGATAGAAATCATAAGTAAATATTATAATCCTTCATTCATATGAGTCATTAACACGTGTTACTACTCATATGAATGAAATAGTAAACTGAGTCAACGTACTATGCTTTTGCGACAAGTGTCAAAGCCATGAATGACAAGAGATGACGCATGATTAAAAAGATGATAGAAAGAATAAATGCAAATTACAAAACTAATTAATATTACTAATAATAATTATTTAATCAAACAAATAACATTCGAATGTTGTTATTAGTCGTATGTCATCGGACAATCAATTTGAAATTCCTTTAAATTGATCGAATCGAAAATTAATCGATAATCGACAATCGATTAATCGATAATCGATTATCGATTCGATTAAAAGACTGAAAACATGTAACAACATTTGAATTTAACAGATATCGAACTAAGTATTGATTATAAGCTCGAATAATAGATAGATAGAAAATAGAATAAGATAGAAAAGATCATATTACATCCGTACGTGCTCAATGTTGTTTTAGCTAGAAACGTGACATATGCTCTTTTGGCTAGAATCGTGCTTTTTACTATTGTCCCCACACGATACATGGACTAAAAGTCCTATATAAACCCCTGCAAATTCAAGAGCAATTGTCAAAAGTTCCGGTGTAGTTCAGTGCGGACAGTATCATTGTAGAGCGACCCTTCGGTTAAAACGCGAATTATTGTATTCTTTCCCGTAAAAAGGTGCAAGTTAGATTATTTATCACTTAGAAACAAGTTTCTTTCCCCTAAAAAGGTGCAAGACAAATAATTTAACACTTAGAGTTGATAATTTTGCTATTTTAACTGTCGTATTTGTGATTAATAATTAATAGTATAAATTTCACTAATTCTTTCCATAAAGGTGCAAGTTATATTATTTGTCACTTAGAAACAAGTTTCTTTCCCCTAAAAAGGTGCAAGATAAATAATTTAACACTTAGAAAACGTGAAACTGTTATTTTAGCACAAAAACTGTTATAAAGTTGTGAATATTACACAAGTGTAATAAAACAAACTTTCAGTTTCATTCAATTGAAACGAGTTCAAACCAAGAAAACCAATTATAACAACCCTGCGATAATCTTGTCAACGAATCTGTAATTAAACGTAAGTAACAATTTGTAACAATTGTAACTTTCTTCTTACTATAAACAATAAATTAAATAAAAGGAATATTTATCTTGTTATTAACGCAAAACCCATAGTTTTGACAAGTGATCACGATCCTACAATAAAAATAAAGATCAGGCTTTACCAACCTGATTAATCAGCTAACTGGTTTTAAAATCTATTTTAAATAAATTATTTAATTTTATTTAAAAGCCTCGCTCTTGCTCGGAACGTAACACCGACATTTTGAATTTTTTAAAAATTACCTTAGATTCGTAATTAGCGACCACAAAAACCGTTGCAGTGAAATAGTCACTTCGAAATTTGGGAATCATCGCATAAAAATGTATTTTGAAAAGAATAAAAAACTTTTTTTATAATCTTGTTTGTTTATATCAATATTTTGTTAATAATATTTACAAATTAAATTATTTTTTTGTTCATATACAATATCTGATTTGTATGTGCAAAAAATATTGTTTGTAAACATTTAAATTTCATTTTTATGGAGATAAACGTCTGGAAAAATATGTAGTCAGTCGTACTGATCACCGTGCTTCTAAGGGTTAACACTACAAAAATACGAAAAAAAAGAATCTGAATATTACTGATCGTTTTCAAATGAAATTCCCCTCCTGGCCCTAAGAAGGCCACCATGCGTTTTTATTTTTATCAAAATATATTATGGAAATTGTAAACTTTATCGATTTGGAAAATTTTATGATGAATAATAAAATAATTTTGTTCTTAATGTATGAAATAGGATAAATAATTAAGAATATTTTAGAATGGCTTCTTATAACCAAAAAACAGAGTAAATTCAAAATTTTTTTATCCGACTTTCACAGTTTTTAATTTTTTTGAAAAAATTTATATCACAATACCATTAATTAAATTAGATTCGACATTGAATAGAGATTGAAACAAGACCAAGAACGCTAAAAAAAGTTAATTAGTTTTCGAGAAATTAAAAAATTACGAAAAGCATGCAAAATGCAGTATTTTTTCTGTATCTAACAGAATAGTTAACGAAAATTCTTCGATCAGGTGTCAGTCTTTTCATAATTTTATTAGCTTTCAGGAAAAAAATACGAAAAATTTTTGTCATTCTTATTTTCTGCGTTTTAAGCATTTTACCACTCATGAAAAAAGGAGCGTCCTGATACTCACGGACGGTAGTGTAATAATAAGGAAATAATATTAAAAAGCATAAAGGAACTGTAAACCAACTCCAATTAGAGTTGGTGTCAGTTTTACGGTTTTTAAAAGTTATCGAAAACTCTACAACAATATACAATGAATCGTTTCACGGGGGTAATACATGCATTTTTTTCAAAATTGTCAAAAATTTCGCTGAAAACACTATGAAGATCAACGCCAAACATGTTCGCTATATTTTATGTGTAATCTGTTTACGAAGATATACCTTTTTAATAAGGAAATTGGCATTGCGTGTGTAAGTGACAGAAGCAGCAAAAATGGCGTTTAATCTCAAATACTGGAATGTTACTATTATTAGTGGAAGTTTAAATACGAATTATTATTGAATTTGATAAAATATTTTTTGTGTAACGGAGTTTCAAAATTTTGACTATTTTAAAAAAATCTTTTTTTAGATTTAACCCATTAAGGACCAGACGGACGAAAAATTTCAATTGACTTTGAGGACCTCGTTTTTTATTAAAATGCATATAAAAAAATTGGCACATACCATTTTTAATGTAAAATTTACTCCTCTTTCAGATTCTGCTGTTAAAATTTGTTTTTTCCAAAGTTTTTTCCAAATCGCCTGAAACTCGTTACTCGGGGGTTCTTGGGGTCGCTGATTACAAATATGATGTCCGTTTTGAAAAATTCAAAATGGCGGATCCAATATGGCGGACCAGTTATGTAAAAATTAATTAGATTCACCAGAAACACTCTAACCGGCGGTTCTTGAGGTCGCTGATTACGAATATGATGTCCGTTTTGAAAAATTCAATATGGCGGATCCAATATGGTGGACGAGTTTTGTAAAAATTAATTGGATTCACCTGAAACTCTCTACTAGGGGGTTCTTGGGGTCGCTGATGACGAATATGATGCCAGTTTTTAAAAATTCAAAATGACGGATCTAATATGGTGTACGAGTTATGTAAGAATTTATTGGATTCACCTGAAACTCTCTACTCGGGGGTTCTTGGGGTCGCTGATTACGAATATGATGTCAGTTTTGAAAAATTAAAAATGGCGGATCCAATGTGGCGGACGAGTTTTGTAAAAATTAATTGGACTTACCTGAAATACTACTCGGGGGTTCTTGTGGTCGCTGATTACGAATATGATGTCCGTTTTCAAATGTTCAACATGGCGGTTCACAGTTTTGTAAAAAAAATTAAATTGTAATAAAAATTGAAAATGTATCGCTATTGGACGGTACATTTTGTACATAACTTTATGTTCCGTGAGTGACATTATTCTCCCAAATGTCTTTGTGTATTTGACAACTTTATGAAGTTGACGGCGAAAAATTTTTATGTGGCTGACGCCCAGTTATCGGTTAAAGGTAATGTCAGTAGTTTAAGAAATTTTTTTTGTAGATATGAAGATTAAATAAATTATTATGAAACCTATTTTTCTTCAAAATAGATGTACTGAGCTACAATAAATAATTTTTATAAAAGATAATATCCTATTTTAGCTTGGAGAACACACAGTAAAGTTTCCGGGTGTCGCAGACTCAGTGTGCGGTTTAAGGATAGATTCGTACACGAAGAGAAAAAACAAGGCTTTTTTCCGTGACTTCAATTCATGCCATTTTTAGATAGTAGTTTCACCGGATTTCGCGATGAATTTCTTGCGTTTAACGGTTAGGCCACGCCTTAGCCCTTATTGGCCTAAGCTCGTTGCAAGAATCTCACCGGGAAAAACCGTGAGCGTCCTGCATTTGTACTGTGATTAAGGGTTAAAGTGTCCAATTTGATCGAAACTCGTAACTTAAGGGTTTTTGGAGTCTGATTACAAATTCGGTGTTAGTTCTTCAAAATTTTAAATTACAGTTCCAACATGGCAGAATTTTTTAAAAATTATCCCGATTGACCTAAAACTGTTTACTTCTGGATTTTGAAGACCACTGATTACAAATCTTATGCCAGTTTCTTAAAATTATCACGGGAGAATTTTATAAATAATCTTATTACCCTGAAACTTCTTACTTGGGGGTTTTCGGAGTCGTTGATTTGGAAACTGACATTATTTTCGTAATCAGCGACGTCGAAAACCCCAGAGTGACAAGTATCAAGTGAAGTAGACGACATTGAAATTTATCTTCCGCCATATTGGATCCGCCTTTTTAAATTTTCGAAAACTGACATCATATTCGTAATCAGCGCCCTCAAATAACCCCCGAGAAGAGAGTTTCAGGTGAATCCAAATAATTTTTACAAAACTCAACCGCCATATTGGATCCGCCATTTAAAATTTTTTAAAACTGACATCACATTCGTAATCAGCGACCCCAAGAACCCCCGAGTAACAAAACAAGTTTTATCTTTGTTCTATCTTTATTTGTTATCTTTATTTGTTTCTATCTTTGTTTTATCTTTTGTTTTTGTTAACGAGTAAACAAGTTTTAGGCAATTTCAGTGACTTGAAAAAGTTGGAGCACTATGTTTCATATGTGATCCATTTTTTTAGTTTTAGCCGCCTTATTAGCGTCCGCCATTTTGAAAAAAAAATTAATCGCTTTAGGGTTTTGTAGCTAAGGGTCCATGGACGCGATATTTGGAGCTTTTGAGAGTATTTATCTACTTTTTTTCGGTGAAAATACATCTGAAATGAAATTTTTTTCTCGAAAAATCGTGTTTTGTTGGAAAAAATTGTTTATAACTTTTTAACAATTTGGTATAAATAAATTTTAACAGTAGAATCTGAAAGAGGGGTAAATTTTAAATTAAAAACTGTATTTGCTAATTTTTTTATATGCATTTTAATAAAAAACGAGGTCCTCAAAGTCAATTGGAATTTTTCGTCCGTCTGGTCCTTAATGGGTTAATATAATATTGATAAGTAAAATTAATTTAATTAAATATGTGAATAGTGATTTTTGAAGGATTTTTCATGAGCTACAAACTGGTGATGAAAAAATTGTTTTCTTTTATTTTGACATTGAAATTCAAGGTCAAATTCTTCATTTCATTATATCTCAAAAACGGATTTTTATTTTTTTTCTAACCTACTCCAATGAAAAGCTTACCTTTTCTCTGTGAGCCTTGTAAAAATAAGAGTAGGACTTTGAAAATTTTCCAACAAAACAATTATAAATCATTATTTCATAAAGAAAATTATTATTTTCTTGAAAAATTTTCAAGATCCCACTCTGATTTTTACATGGCGTATAGAAAAAAAGGTAGAGAAGAGTAGACTACATTGAACACAGTTTTTTCTAAAGTCCAAGAACTAATTACAAATTTTAATCAGGTTTTTGTATCAAAATAAAACTGAAGTATTCCTTTAGTTAATACACACGTTACAAACACAAATTATTATGATTAAATAATGAAATTTAATTTTTTGCTAACCTGTTACACTTTTTTTATTTTGAAGGATATGTGTTTACATTGAACCACCTCTAATAAAACACTACAACTTACTTCGAAAATAATATTTCCACTTACAAAAAAAAAAAATCTTATTAAAAAAACATTAATTAATTAATTAATTAATTAATCTTATTTAAAAATCTTATTTTCCACTCGAAAAAATAGAAAATCGTTGATAAATAGTTATTATTTGTTAATATAGAATATTAATATATTTCGATGTCAGATTTCGTAGCAAAAGTGACAGTTTAAGTTTATCTCGTTGACAATTGTAATGAAAGCATGTCTTCTAGTATTTTTCTTACTAATTAGTAGAGCAGACAACTTTACAACTCTTAGGTTGAGTCCACAATAAAATAAATCGTCTCGATTTCAATGCGCAGTAAACAAAAATGTACGTACGCGCATCGAATCGTCTTGAAAGTCGAGACGATTTTTAGCTATTCTGGAATCAGCCTTAAAATTGAAAATTCTTTGCTCTTTTGGGTAGTTCAATGATGCCGCACTCACTGTATTTACATGACATTCACAATAAAAATGGTTTATAATATATTTATGTAAGACTTAAAATTCATTATCACATCGGAATATTGAAGTTGACACCCTAATCGAAATAAATCAAAAGTTTATTCATTTGTAAAACTCACTATTTCAATAAAAAAAACTTCATTATGGGTAAGACTCCGTCAGAAAAAAAGCGATTTGCAAGTGGTCTTCCAAATTCTTTGAAAGCTTGAGAAATAGAAGCCTTATATGAATTAAATTTAACCCAAAAAGGATTTTGAAAAATTTTCAAAATGCCGGCCGGTACGCCATATTGAAAATGAATGTTGCGTTTTTTTCAAAAATTAATATCTCTGAAACTTTTTGATTGATTTTAATGAAATTTATAAGCGATATAGTTAAAAATACGTAGTTTAATTTAATATTATGACCAAAGAAAAATTTCCAAAATTTGTCAAAAAAAAGTCAAAAAAAATTTTTGAATTAATTTTTAGTTCAGTTGGCCTAATTTTTTAATTTTTTAATAAGTAAATATCGATTCCCTGTAATTTCACCTTTTATTTCATAAAAAAAAATTTATGAAGACTCTAATAGATCTCGAGATATTGCGATTTTAGTGGGAGCGCGTACCGCGGAATTAAACTCCGTATCGAGGCGGAATATAAAGCGAGTGTACAAACGTGCACAATAGGGTGTCCGTAACAATGTGACTTTCGAATTTTGTTTACAATGGCGGATGTTTAAGGTGGGTTATAAAAATGCACCACAATATATCCAAAGTTTTAACACATAAATATTGTCAAAAATTCAAAAAAAATTTTTTACTCGGGGGTATTTTCGATCGTTTATTATAAATCTGATGTCAGAAATTAATTTTTCAAAATTTTCGATCCAATATGGCGGATTCAAAATTATGATTTTCTACATTTTTAAAGTAAATAGTCTAAAATATTAATTTATGGATTATTAGTTACAAAAAATAATTATTAGGATGTTTTAGAAACTGTTTTTTAGAAATTTAACTTTTTATACCTCTTCTCTTAAAATCGATTATTAAAGGAATATTTAAAAAAAAATTTGAATCCGCTTTGTCATATTAAATCGGGTAATTTGAAAATTAAATTTTTAACATTAGATTCGTAAATACCGCTTCCAAAAATCGCCCTTGACGTTGTTTTAGAATATTTACTTCAAAAATGTAGAAAATCAAAATTTTGAACCTGCCATATTGGATCGAAAATTTTGAAAAATTAATTTCTGATATCAGATTTATGATAAACGATCGAAAATACCCCCGAGTAAGAAATTTTTTTGAATTTTTGACAACATTTATGTCATAAAACCTTGGATATATTGTGGTGCATTTTTATAACCCACTTTAAACATCCGCCATTTAAAAAATTTTTGAGAATTGAATTTTTGGCAAAGTGCTATCTTATAGTGCAGCTAAAAATGAAAGCAAATGTGACCAGGAGAATTTTTTGCATGAAAATTAAAAAAGTTATGAATTTTTTTCTTAAAAAGTTCATTTTTCCTATGTATATTTTTAATGAGAAAATTTTGATCGATCACTGGCACGTGTTAATATTAATCAATCGGCTTCAAATTTTAAGAAATTTTTTTTTTTATTTTATTGGAACCAAACTGGGGGGTGGCGTAAACAAAATTCGAAAGTCACATTGTTACGGACACCCTATTGTGCACGTTTGTACACTCGCTTTATATTCCGCCTCGATACGGAGTTTAATTCCGCGGTACGCGCTCCCACTAAAATCGCAATATCTCGAGATCTATTAGAGTCTTCATAAATTTTTTTTTATGAAATAAAAGGTTAAATTACAGGGAATCGATATTTACTTATTAAAAAATTAAAAAATTAGGCCAACTGAACTAAAAATTAATTCAAAAAATTTTTTTGACTTTTTTTGACAAATTTTGGAAATTTTTTTTTTGGTCATAATATAAAATTAAACTACGTATTTTTAACTATATCGCCTATAAATTTCATTAAAATCGATCAAAAAGTTTTAGAGATATTAATTTTTGAAAAAAACGCAACATTCATTTTCAATATGGCGTAGCGGCCGCCATTTTGAAAATTTTTCAATATCCTTTTAGGGTTAAATTTAACTCATATAAGACTTCTATTTCCCAAGCTTTCAAAGAAATTGGAAGACCACTTGCAAATCGCTTTTTTTCTGACGGAGTCTAACGCTTATATTTCCACAACATTTTTTGTTTTGTACGTGAAAAATAGTTTTTTTAGTTTTTCTTTGTAAATAATAAATCTACGTTCCGAAAATTTTTGTACATAGTCTGTTTCAGTAAAACTAACTTATATATTGAATAAGAAAAAACACTCAGAAAATTGAAGTGGTTCACTAATGACGCTGGCTTAATACAGACTTTTCTCCCCTAAGCTTTCCATTGGGTTAGGTTAGAAAAAAATGAAAAACCGTTTTTGAGATATAATAAAATTAAGAATTTGACCTTGAATTTCAATGTCAAATTGAAAGAAAAGAATTTTTTTTCATCACCAGCTTGTAGATCATGAAAATCCCTTCAAAAATCACTATTTACATTTTTAATTTGAGTAATTTTACTTATCAATAAATTAAGTCTAAGAAAAGATTTTTTCAAAAATGTCAAAATTTTGAAACTCCGTAACTCAAAAAATATTATATTAAATTCAATAATAACTTGTATTTACACTTCTACTAATAATAGAAACATACCAGAATATGTTAAAAGCGTAGTGGTGTTAAAATTCGTTAAAGTTAATTTAATAAAATTGTTTCGTCCAGCTTAGGTTCGTTGTTCAGACCACTGTGTGACGTGCTAGTAGGGTTGGCGTCTTCTACGAATCGTAAATAACAGTTGAAAAATGAAACAATTTTTTCTTTATGTAGTTTTAATATTGTATTTTAATGTGCAAAAAACGTTTTTAATCTTTTAAATAAAATGTCTGTGAAAATAACAGTAAAGTGAATCCTATTTTTTGCCTTCGCAGACGCAAGTAATCCTTAACTGTATTTCTTTTTCTTTAAGTTTGAATTTTTTAGGCACATTTTTTGAACCCTTATTGGATATTTTTAAGACATTTTAGGGGTCAGAATTTTCCAAACGGATCACCTAAAACTAAAAAACTTTCTTTTTTAATTCCTGAAAATATTAAGCTAATAAAAATTTTTTTGCAAAAGTTATTAACAATTGACTTTTTTAGTACTATTTAATTAACAAATTCTTTTCTCGAGTTCCAGTTGACGGATTAAAAAATTAAAATACGGGTTTTTTCGTCTTGAATTGCACTATTTAAATATATTTTTGTTTTTAAATTTTTTTTATTATTTGCCTATAAAATGTTAATAAACAAATATATTCTTTACGTCCTAACAAAAAAATTAAAATTGTATTATATTCCTTAAACATCACCGAGTGTAAACCCGTTTTGAAAAAAATGAGCCTTAATTAGAAAAAAGTTATTAATTAAAAACTGCAGCTGTGTAGAGCTTTATATGACGTTAAACTCGCCCAGCGCACATTGGCTTTTCTACAATTTGCTGTTCAAAATTGTCTGGAGCCTACAAATTTTATCGGATTTGGATGTTCTTGGTCTTAAGGTATTAGTCACGTAAAATGGTTTTCGTCAGATTTTTAAAATTTTGCATACTTATTCCAGAAGTATTTATCTACAGAATGAGACCAATTCCATTAATTTTGACCGTTTCAAAGCTTCAAAAAATGAATTCAAAGTTCATACGTTTTGCATGGAGGGAGCACCCAATGCATGTATTGAATTTGTTTAATAATTATTTATATGCTAACTAATCGTCAGATTTTGAAATAAAACTACGAAAGTATTTAATTAGATGAAACAAATGCATAAAAAAATGACATTTTTTGACCGCACCAAACTATAAATATATTGACAGAAAGTTAAAAAAATAACTAAATTATATGAATTTTCATACGAACGAATAGAGTGGGGAGTTAGACTGTCTCTCCCACTGCCCCACTCTAGTAAGCGGCCCGGTAAACTTTTGGCCAGAGCCAGCAGCGCGACTAATATCTTAAATGAGAGAGGATAAAATATCTAAGAGATCCCTCTAAACCAATTCATTTAAATTGTTGCAAACAATGTTAATTAAAAAATAGATAACTTTGGTTCTTTTTTATAATTTGTTTATAACAAATGTAATTGTTTGTGCTAATCAATTTTTAAAGTTTTAAAAAGAATGTAGAGGAGAGTAGGCTACATTGAACCAGCTTCAACAGTGAACCATTTCAAATTTTCTGAGAAATAACTGAGTGAAATTTTTTCTTATTCAATCAGGGGCGGTCCGAGATATATTTTCTAGCCGGGCAAAATTTTTTTCGGCGCCCCTCCCCCTCTTTTTTATTAGATATATATATAATTGTAAATAATAAAATTTAGAAAAATTAAAAACGAAACTTTATTATTCTTTGCTCAATAGTATTTACAATAAAACTTTGCGAGCTTTAAGTTCAGCAAAACTTCTTATAACTGATTCTACATCAATATTTTCTAATATTTCACTTTCAATTGACATCATAGCCAATCCTACCAGTCTTTCTTGAGACATTGTAGATCTTAAATAATTTTTAATTAATTTTAATTTCGAAAAGCTTCTTTCTGCTGAAGCAACAGTTACAGGAAGAGTTGCAGCAATCCGATATGCTATATAAGCATTAGGAAAATTTTCACAAAGATTTTTAGTAGTAATAAATTTCAGTAATTCTATTGGATTTTTAGTCAATTGAGGTAATGAATCGGATACAGAAAACAGAACTAACAGCTCTTGATAAAGTTGTGAACCATCAATATCATACTGGTCACCGTTCGTTAATGCTAATTGTAAATTTAAACAATTATTTAAAAGTAATGTCTTATCTTCACTGTTCAAATCAAACATGAATCCAAATATGTCATTGTACTTGCTTAATTGAGAAAATCTTTCTGTCAGTGAATTTATAGCTCGATCCAGTACTTGAAAATAAAAATTTATTTTAAAGGCTTGCTTTGGAACTACAATTGGCTCGTCTTGAGATTCGTACTCGAATTGGCGTCGGACTCTTCTTCGACGTACTTGCAATTGAGGTGGAAATTCTGGTTCTATTTCTAGAATTTCGGCAAGTTCTTTCGCATCAATTATTATAGATTCAAAACCTTCATCTGTTCGCAATTCTTTTAAAAAGCTTATTATTTTTTTTATAAGTTCTATCGAAGTTGAAAAATGAATGTCGACTTTCTGCATAAGCTTGCTGACCACATTTATTCTAAAAAGAATGATGTGCCAAACAACTAAACTGCAGAGAAATTTAAAATCTTTTAATTTTCGAGCTAAACTCAAAGCCATGTTTTTGAATATGCATCGCTTTTTGGGTCTTCTGACAAGTCATATAAGGCGTCATATATTTCTCCAATATAATACCGAAGAGGTGTTACGGCATCAATTCGACTCTCCCATCGAGTTGTACTTAATGGTTTCACGGTTAACGACGTCACATGATTTTTTAAAGTAGACCATCTATGAGTAGAAGCAGAAAAGTAATTGTAAATTTCTTGCACAATGTTAAAAAAGTTGACAGCATCGTTACAAGATAAAGCTGCATCATTCACAGCTAAATTCATTGAGTGTGAACCACAATTCACATAAAATGCAAGCGGATTTAGGTTTAAAATTCTTGCTTGAACTCCTGCATGTTTGCCTTTCATGTTCGACCCGTTATCGTATCCTTGCCCGCGCATATTCGACAGTGGTAACTTCATTTCTTCAAGTGTAGACAGAAGAGTGTCAGTTAAAGCTTTACCCGTTGACTCTTCAACAGGAATAAATCCCAAAAAGTGTTCTTCTATGCTGGGTTCTTGTCCTGGTTCACAACATGTATACCGAATAATTAAAGACATTTGTTCCTTACGACTAGTATCAGGAGTACAATCTAAGAGTATTGAATAATAGGTCCATTTTTTAATTTCATTCAAAATATGTTCTTTTATTTTTAAACTAAGAAGTTCAATAATTTCATTCTGAATCCGTTTACTTAAATAATGAACGTGAGATTCTTTTGTTTCTATGCTCCGTAAGTGTTCGGCAATAACTGGATCAAATTTTCCAATAAATTCAAATAGCTTTAAAAAATTGCCATTATCTCGTAAATAAAGTTGATCAGTTTTGCCACGAAATGCTAAGTTTTGTGAACCAAGAAATCCGATTGCCCATATTATTCGTTTAAGAACTTCTATCCAGCGTTTGACTTCATTTTTTATAATTCTCTGATTTTCAGAATCGATTGTCTTATTTTTAGATAAACGTTGTGCAAATTCAACCCATGATTGAAAAGCTTTCATGTGGCCAGAAGATTTTTCATGTTCCGATAAAAGTTCAGACATATGCTTCCAGTCACAGTAACCATATTCAGAAGATAAAGAAATTCTTGTTGTGCCAAAAAGACGACAGCAAAAACAAAAAATTTTGTTTTTCGACACAGAATAAATTAGCCAAGAACGTAATATATCTTCTCCATTAGGCATTCGTCTACAATAATTTTGAACGCTGAATCTTCTCCCATCATTATTTTTAGGAAACTGAATATTAGAAATTTGTTCAGGTCCACGTTCAATTAGAATTTGCCGAATTTTGTCCGATATAATATCTGGCCATTCTCCGGGATCGTTTGATACCATAAGAGATTCATTTTCTTGAGTCATCTATAAAATAATTTCATTAAATAATATTATCATAAATTAGAAAAAACTATAATTTTTCTTACATCCGTTGCAGAAGACTCTTTACTATTGATTTCTTCGTTTTGATCTAAATCTTCTAGTTGAATTCGTTCTTGTACATCTGATTTAGGCTGGAAGCTCTCGTTTCCCTAATAAAAGAATTAAAACATTTTATGAACTAAATACAATATTTGATTTTCTCTACAAATTATTTTATTAAATCAAAATATTTATCAAGTTAAAATTTTAATTTTAAATCTTCTAAGAGACAATCTAAATTGTTTAGACCTTAAAAATTTTATTTCTTTGCACTTATTCAATGCCAAAAGAGAAACTTCATTGCTTTAAAACTTAAAAATCTTATTAGAAATTCATAAAATGTAAATATCCATTTTTGTATTAACAATAATAAAAAAGACTTTTTGACAAAAAGGCAGTTAATTGAATTTGCTTATATTACATAGTCTAAACCCATTAAACGAACTCTTGTAAAAGATTATTAATAGTGATTAAATTTATTTACCTCCTTGAAAACTCCATCGATTCAGGTATTCTCTTGATGTTATCAATCCAACTACATAATTTTTCTACATATCTACAAGCTTTTTAAATAACAAGTACACAAATATAAGAGGATTATTAATACTAGATATAAAAATTTAAACTCACCTGTCTGTAATATTTTGGAAAATATTAAGAAATGACCAGTTGATTTATATTAAAAAACATTTTTCTGTTACACATATATTTTTAAATATCTAAAAGCTTAAGACGGACACAGTTTCACTAATGATAAAGCGTTACAATTGAAAACTACGAATAGGTAGCAGAATTATTATAAATTACGTATAGACATTTCTAATTAACAATATGTAATTAAGTCTTTTTCAGGTCGAAGTACTATTAAATTTAATTTACCTCTGATAATTCAATCGATTCTTCATTTGTAATATTTACTGAATCACTATTCTGGCTAGAGCCAACTTGAATAAAACGTTTAAAAGCCGTAGCTTGCTTTTGCAATTCTGCAGTTTCTTGTAATTTTCTTTTTCTGTAGTAGGACCCAGAATGCTTTTTATTTTCTGACATTTTGTCTTATTATGAAGAAATTTTTTTTAAAATATCGATAAACAAAATATACAAATACACAAACGATTTTTGAAGCAGACAAAACTGTCAACAGTTTGGCTAGGTTAGAATCGAACTTGTTTCAGGGTTGCGTCGCGTTGATGAATTCAAAAATTAAAGTCAGGGTACGGACACAATTTTCATATGCATTTGACAAGTAAAGCTTTAAGTTTAAAGGTATGACCACACTAATATACATATGCATAATCACAAATTCACAATAATCAGTGATTAATAATCAAGTTACCAGAAATAACCAATTTAACCTAGTTTAATTAAAAAACATATTTTTCTTTATTTAAAAATTATCGAAAAAATGTAAAAAAAATTATGTATTTCGAAGATTTTGGCGCCCCTGAGAAAACGGCGCCCCGGGCAGTCGCCCGGGTTGCCCGGGCCTTTGACCGCCCCTGTATTCAATATATAAGTTAGTTCTACCGAAGCAGACTATGTCCAAAAATTTCCGGCACGTTGGTTTATTATTTACAAAAAAAACCAAAAAAATTGTTTTTCACGTACAAAACAAAAATTTTTGTGGAATTATAATGACGTATTTTTATTGAAATAGGAAGTTTTAAAAATTAATATACTTGGGATTTCTTTCACTTAGGGTGTCAACTTCAATATTTCGATGTGATAAAGAATTTTAAATCTTACATAAATTTATTATAAACAATTTTTGTTGTGAATGTCATGTGTATACAGTGAGTGCGGCATCATTGAACCACCTAATTGGCCCTCTTCAGAGCCAAATACATAAATTAATGTAAAAAACAGTTTTTAATAATTACCAAATCTTTAATAGGACCTTCTCAGAACCACCTAAATCATGTCATCCGACATATTGGATCCGCCATTTTGAATTTTAAAAATCTTACACCAGATTCGTAATTAGCGACCTCAAAAACCACAGAGAAACGAATTTCAGGAAAATCCGATGAATTTAAAAAAAAACGTCCGCCATATTGGATCCGCCATTTTGAATTTTAAAAATCTAATACCAGATTCGTAACCAGCGATCTCAAAAACCCCGAGTTAAAAAATTAGAACCAATAATCTTGATATAATAGCACATATAATAACACAGGTCAACAAAAAAAGACTTACTTTTTTTTTATGAGATAGCGGAATGTTTTCCTATGTATTTTTGGACGCTGAACACGATCCCGACTTCCAAAATTGCTTATCACGTCAGGATTTTGAGAAAAGTGGGGGTAAAGACCCCAAAAACGCTTTTTTGAGGAATTTCAACATTTATTTTCTCTTTAACCTGACGTGCTAGAGACTTCCACAAGGTCTTAAATTAAAGCTTGTAATGTGCACTAAAAGACCAATATCCATAAATTAAAAAAAAATTAAATTTTTTTTCAAAAAATGGGATTGAAGACACCAAAAATTTGTGTTTTTGGATTGCTTTAATAGACTTTTTGCAATTGCTTGGATTCGCATGAAAGTGGTTACTTGGGGTTTTTGGGGTCGCTGATTACGAATCCGATATTAGTTTGCAAAAATTAAAAATGGCGGATTCGTAATCAGCGACCTCAAAAACCCTGAAATAACAATTTTCAAGCGAATCCAAGCAATTCTTAATTCTTACATCTGCCATCTTGGTTTCGCCGTTTAAAATTTTTGCAAACAAATATTGGATTCGTAATCAGCGACCCCAAAAACCCTAAGTACCCATTTTCAAGCGAATCCAAGCGATTGCAAGAAGTCTATTAAAGCAATCCAAAAACACAAATTTTTGGTGTCTTCAACCCCATTTTTTGAAAAAAATTTTAATTTTTTTTTAATTTATGGATATTGGTCTTTTAATGCACATTACAAGCTTTAATTTAAGACCTTGTGGAAGTCTCTAGCACGTCAGGTTAAAGAGAAAAGAAATGTTGAAAATCCTCAAAAAAGCGTTTTTGGGGTCTTTACCCCCACTTTTCTCAAATTCCTGACGTGATGGGCAAATTTGGAAGTCGGGATCGTGTTCAGCGTCCAAAAATACATAGGAAACCATTCCGCTATCTCATAAAAAAAAGTAAGTCTTTTTTTGTTGACCTGTGTAATTTGTTAAAACAAATATTGTTTATAACTATTCTGTTTTATTATTGTATAAATTTACATTAATTATTATCTCCAAGTATTATTACAACCATTTTATGAGATATTAAGTTTTTGTTTGTTTTATTTTTTAGAAAAAACCGTGCATATTCTTAAAAAGTCAAATTGGATCAGTATATTTGTTTATTTATAAATTAAACATTAACAAAAATAAAAATTCTAAAACGACAGTTCTCTAAAGAATTTTGTTCTGAAGAATTGAAAAAAAAATTTTTGTGAATCGGTTTAAAATTGTGGTCTGTAGTTAATTATGAATGAAAAAAATACATTTTAAACCACTGTGTACCCGAAACAGCAAAGAATTTTTAATTTTAAGAGTGGTAAAGTTGTCTGCTCTACTAACTAGTAAGAAAAATACTGGAAGACATGCTTTTATTACAATTGTCAACGTGGTAAACTTAAACTGTCACTTTTACTACATAACCTGACATCGAAATATATTAATCTCCTATATTAATAAATAATAACTATTTAACAACAATTTTCTATTTTTTCGAGTGGAAAATAAGATTTTTTACAATGTGTAAGTGGAAATATTATTTTCGAAGTAAATTGTAGTGTTTTATTAGAGGTGGTTCAATGTAGACACACATCCTTCAAAATAAGAAAAGTTAACTGGTTAGAAAAAAAATAAAATTTAATTATTTAATCATAATAATTTGTGTTTGTAACGTGTGTATTAACTAAAGGAGTACTTTGATTTTCTTTTGATATACAAAAGGTGATCAAAATTTGTAAAATTTAATTTGTTCTTGGACTTTATAAAAAAACCTGGTTCAATGTAACCTACTCTCCCCTACATATGATATAAACATTTTATGTATAAAAAGTGACTAAAATGTTTATAAATGTAAAAAAAACTTTATTCTTGTTTATAATAATTGTTAATAACAATGTTAATTATTAACTTTAAAATCATTTTTTACCAAAATCGACATAGATTACTTAAATAAACAAAAATGTGTTTGCAACAATATAAATAAATTGTATTATGAATTATTATTTGTCTAATGGTGATACTGGACTAATTTAAATTGATTTCAATCATTTGCAATGGAAAAATAAAAAATTAAACATGATCTTTTCTGAAAATATTGTAAATTGTTAACTTTGAGTAACAAAAAAATATAAGGGCAATTCCACGTGAGATTTAAGTCGACCTCTTAAAATCGGCCAAAAATATTTTTTTTCTATTCTGTATCGAAAAAAAACAAATACGTATTTTTTTATTTTTGTTTAATTGTCCAAATTTTTCATTTATGAATTTTCAAAATTTTAGACTTTTAATTGTAGACCTATATTCAGTAGCTTATAAGTCCGAAAATATTGAGTTTAGGAAAAAGTTGTCAAAGAATGAAAGTTTTAGTTTTCTTTTTTTTATAAACAAATTAATTTTTTTTAACTTTAAACCGGATTTTTTTTTTATTTTTTTAAATTTATTCATAGGGAAGGGTAGCCTACATTGAACCGGGTATTTTATAAAGTCAAAGAACTAATTAAATTTTACTAATTTCGATCAGGTTTTTGTATCAAAATTAAGCTGAAGTACTCCTTTAGTTAATACGCACGTTACAAATACAAATTATTATGATTAAATAATTAAATTTAATTTTTTCTAACAAGTCACAATTTTTCTATTTTAAAGGATCTGTGTCTACATTGAACCACCTCTAATAAAACACTACAATTTACTTTAAAAATAATATTTCCACTTACACATTGTAAAAAATCTTATTTTTCACTTAAAAAAAATAGAAAATTGTTGTTAAAGAGTTATTATTTGTTAATATAGGAGATTAATATATTTTGATGTCAGATTAGGTAGGTGAAGTGACAGTTTGAGTTTATCTTGTTCACAATTGTGATGAAAGCATGTCTTCCAGTATTTTTCTTACTAATTAGTAGAGCAGACAACTTTACAACTCTTAAAATTGAAAATTCTTTGCTTTTTCAAGTGGTTCAATGATGCCGCACTCACTGTATTCCCATGACATTCACAACAAAAATTGTTTATAATATATTTATGTATGTTTTAAAATTCTTTATCACATCGGAATATTGAAGTTGACACCCTAAGCGAAATAAATCACAAGTTTACTAATTTTTAAAACTTCCTATTTCAAAAAAAAACTTGATTATATTTCCACAAAATTTTTTGTTTTGTACGTGAAAAACAGTTTTTTTAGTTTTTCTTTATAAATAATAAACCTACGTGCCCGAAATTTTTGGACATAGTTTGTTTCAGTAAAACTAACTTATATATTAAATAAGAAAAAATTTCACTCAATCATTTCTCAGAAAATTGAAGTGGTTCACTGTTGACGTTGGTTCAATGTAGCCTACTCTCCCCTACATTTTAGTATGGAGAAGATTTTCCAAATAGTCCCGAAATGGGCCTGATGTGTTAAATGAGTTTTAAAACATTTTCAAAAATCACTTGCAAGCATCACAGTGGAATTTTTTTTTACAATTAACTTTCTAAAACTGTCTACAGCGTAGACCCTTTAATTTGAAACAAAGAACTCTGAAACAGATTAAAAATTATACGCTGTAGACAGTTTTAAAAAGTTAATTGTAAAAAAATCCCACTGTGATGCTTGCAAGTGATTTTTGAAAATGTTTTAAAACTCATTTAACACATTAGTAAGAGTTTGCGGTGCCCCCTATAGAGCCGCTCCTGACAGTCTAAAATCAAAAAAACAAAATTTATTCTTTAGTATACATTAATACCTAGTGGACGTATATGATGAAATGAAAGATAATAAAAAAAACGAAAATGTGGTACTTTTGAAGTCAAAAATTCAAAAGATCTAAATCATCATTTCTTAAAAATTGACTTTAAAAGTACC